CACCCTCACCCACACCCACACCCACACCCTCACCCACACCCACACCCACACCCACACCCTACTTTAGCTCTTTTTTATTCATACTTTTTTCAATTATATATCTTATTACTTAATATTATTTTTCTGAAAATAACGGATGGTACAAAAGTTTTGCCTTAATTTATTTCCGTTATTGTGCTACGCACAAATATACTACGTGATTTAATTATGTTTTTTTCTGTCATAGAAAGAGTATAATCTAAAGTACATACTCAAATATTTTGCCATTTCATATATTTGCTTTTCTTCCGAACGCAAAAAATCAAATTAAAACGAAGCACTAAGATTGCGTGTTTCAACTTTCTTGTCAATACTTCGGAGAAATGAATTTCTTAACTTTTCGTTATTTTTTTTATTCCAATTTTTTGCATTAAGTCTTTTATTGAAAAATGTTCTATGATATTCTCTACAAGATTGTGTGTTTGACTGAACTAAAAGACTTTTTTAGGGTGTAGGTGTGGGTGGCGGAGCTGTGGGTGTGGGATGTGAATGGCGGTGGTGTGGGTGTGAGTGTGGGTGCGGGTGTGAGTGTGGGTGTGGGTGCGTGAGTGTGGGTGTGGGAGTGTGGGTATGAGGGTGTGAGTGTGGGTGTGCGTGGGCGTGGGTGTGAATGTGGGTGTGATTGTTTACTATTTACTCACACCCACATCCACCCACACTCTCACCCACACCCCACACCCACCTTACACCGTCTGTAATGGGGCCTCTCATTGCTAAGTGTCTGTAATGGGGAGGGAGGAAGCTCCAAAACGTCGACTTAAAACTTACACTCACTATTATTTTCTTCGAAAATATACGTGAGTTCCACAAAACCTTTATGTGATATTCAAAGAACGATCTGTAGTTAGATGAACTTCTTCACGGTGGAATCATTTTTATCATATCTCATCCTATGTTACTAATCGTTTAGTCTACGAATTGAGGTCAACCCAAGATGGAACCATCATAGTTTGATTTCATATTCTAGAAATTCACTCGATTTAAAAATCGAAGGGGTGTGGATGTTGATGAAGGAAAGAATCACACCCACACCTTCTGATTTTTGTCAGTAGAGAACTCACTTATTCCTGGGTTTAGTTAGAAATTCGCTGATCACTGAAGAAAAATTTTTCCATTTCTTTTACTGGCGTTGCAGTTAGTCTCATAATAGGTGACGGTAATATCTGAGAATTTTCCAAGATATCTGCGTCTTATCGCGGATATTTTATTATAATATACTGTAAGTTTTCAGACAAAAGAAAATTTACTTTTTTGAAAATCCGGACATATCTCTTCTTGAGAAGATGAAAATTAATGATTTTAATGCACCTTTTCGAAATTTGAATGAAAAACAAAACGTGTTTTTTCCTACCGAATGAATCATTTATGGGCACCATATAAAAACTGTCGCATTTTGAGTCTTTTTCATTTCTTTTCGTGCGCAATAATGATGTTATTACACACGTCATTGTAAAAACATACATATTTCCCACATTGCAAAAAGAATACGGTTAGATTAGCAATTACCCAATTACAAATTTCTTTTATTTGTTTTAGTTCGTCTTTCTACATCTATCAAGATAACTATAAGCTGGTATGGATTGAGTTGCGATTAGAGTCCTTAGGGACAAGCGTCTTTCAGATATAAAAATCCATCTACCATGTTTCGAGAATTACTCAATAGTTCGAATCTCGTTTTTCCATTCTGAAAACTTTTGGGTAGTTCTGGATTCCATTTGTCTTGTTGATTTAAAGCAACATAAGGATGTCGTTCAGATAGGCCTGCGAGTCAAATGTTTTTTTTACTCCCGTAAGTTGTTGTAGAAATTCGATGAATCGAATTGATTTTAACTTTAAAAATACACTGAATATTGCTTTTTATGATATCTGTATCATAGCATTAAATCTAAAAAAACTTTCAACAATATTCAGGGATTTCTTTGTAGTTACAATAGATCATTTTCTAAAACATTGAATACATGTTCAGAAACTCTCATAATTACAAGTCGCGTTGATCATTCTCGATATTCTTGGAAATTTCTGAGAGCTCTTGAAAAGCATTGATTGTATAATTTTCTTTCTTGTCATCTGAAAGACTTCTTTAACTTATGAATATCCCAAAACTACGCGTGAAATTTATCCGAAATTTCTTCATCTACATAAAAAAGCTGAGTGTATGTGGGTATGAAGGTATTCGCAAAAAAGAGACTCGTATCTAACTATCCTGACGCCCTTATAATTCTTGTTTGAAAATAACTGTAAGCATTTGAATTTATTTAGTTCATCAACATTTCTTTAGTTTCAGACATCTACTCGTCTACAGATGGTCAATTCAACAGCAGCGTCAGCAACTGTTCTATCAACAAACTTAACTTCATTCGTTTATGAAGATTTAATTTCTCATGTTCAAAGAATTCAACATCAAATGATTGAAAATGTAGAATATCTTGATAATCGATGGAAAAATGAAATAAAGATACGAGAGGAATTAGAGTCACATTCAATAACATTCGTAGATCCATATGGAAACCCAATAACTAATCAGTATATGAATCATGAATTAATCGGCACATTGTTTAGAAAATACAAGAAGTATTATGTTCCAAAATATTTACAAAACTGGGTTAAAATTGGAACAGTTAGTGAAAATGTTATTTCACCATTAAATGAGTCTGAATTGAAATCATCTGTTTCGAAATATCCAAATGGTTATCGATTTATTATGTATGGTGAATTGAATATCTTAATAGAATATCGAGAAGATGTGCCGCGTCACAAATTTGTATTACTCGTTCTCCTAATGGATAATATCGAGAAGATTAAAATGCAAATACAAAAACTTCGAAAACTTCCGAACATCGAACTAAAATCATTTATATTAGATAAAGATTCTCAAACGAATAATCAGAATTGGAGTAAAGGTCAAACATTCAAGTCAGATGATACTATTTTGTCATGTCAATTATATCAAGATAATTCCGTCATCGTAGCAAAAGTTCTGCATGAAAAAGTAAATCATAGATTTTCTACTTTTTTTATATCACATGATTTCTTTTTTACATAGATTAATGTTAAAGAATCCAATAATAATTTTCAAATGTTTGTGAAAACCCTTACTGGAAAGACAATTACTTTAAAGGTCAGTTCTCACATGAATCCAACTGCAGTAAAACAATTGATACAACACGTGGAAGGCATTCTTCCTGATCAACAACGTCTAATGTTTGCTGGAAAACAACTAGAAGATAATACAACTCTTTCAGAATATAAAATACGAAAGGAAAGTACGATTCATCTAGCGTTACGCTTACGTGGTGGAATGTATCATTTTACAAGTGGTCGACAAGATTTTCAACATTTACCAAATACAGGAGCTGAAGCAATAAAAAATATTCTTGCATTCAAGTTTGAACAAATGAATCGTGATGAAGGTTTGTCACCAGCCGAATTGCAGAATGCTATTTTAGAAGGACAAGTTGTTCTTTCCAAATTATTTAATGAAATCAAAAATTTTTCTGTATCTGATAATCTCTCACATTTAAAAAACATTATACTATCGAATATTGCTGATAATGAAGATGAAAATGATAGTGACGAAGAAGAAGAAGATGATGATGTTTCAAACGATCCATAACAATCAGCTCTCGAAAAAAAATTTTTGAGTATTTCGATTATTAGAATATAAAGTACTTAAATATTTACTTATTCAAGAAGAATAAATGAGACTTAGTCAAGAAACTCAACAATTATTATCAAACATTGAATATAGAAAAGATATCGATTGGATAGATATTATAGCTGATTTACAAACTAAACTAATTAAAAATGCAATCGACGAAAATGCAACAGACGACGAAATTCAATATAGTTTGAAATAAATAAAGTTAATGCCTAAAGATATGATGAGAGAAGCATTATGAGTGCGTGTGGGGTGAGGGTGTGCGAGTGTGGGGTGAGGGTGTGCGAGTGTGGGGTGAGGGTGTGCGAGTGTGGGTGTGGATGGGTGTGGGTGTAGATGTGGGTGTGGGGTGTGGGTGGGTGTAGATGTGGGTGTGGGTATACTTGTTGAATTAACTCACACTCCCACCCACACCCCGCACCCACACTCACACTCATACACCCACACCCACCCCGCACAGCCACACCCATACACCAACACCCACCCCACACCCTCTCTGCTGTTTTCCCCTTGATATAAACCTATGAGTATTTTAAATAAATTACTAAAGTACACAAAAACAATATATGAGTACTCAGAAAACACTCAAAATTATACGGCGAGTACTCGATAGTCGTACTCAGATATTCAGATTCTAGTACGAGTACTACTGATGAGTACTCAAAACCCGTGAGTACTCAGGAGTACTCGCGGCATTTTCTAGCGTGAGTACTTTTTGAGTACTCTCTTGATGAGTACCTTCACTAGGGGAGGCAAAGGTAAACAAAGAAGTACAACATTACTGAGAAAAGACGGAAAGAATAATAAAATAATGTGTCTCAGATAGAAAAGATTATATACTGATATTTTACAGAATAAGTATGTGTTAGAAACAAGATTTCAAATCACATATTTCTGAATATCTGTTTTCATTATAAGACTTGAATAAAATATATATTTCTTATCGACTCACGATAAATGGAATGCAAGCCAAAAACTAAAGACATGATAGTTTTTTGGAGGTATCTGTTGGAAAGTAACACAAAAACCTACTAAAAATATTTATTTAAAGTCTAAAACATCTTCCACGATATAGAGCATCTGACACTTTTCGAGTATCATATTTTAAAAAAAAAATTATCGTCCATAGGACATAGATAAAAGACCTGATGTTAACTGTATGTCAACTTTTCAATAAAGTAATGATAAAATTTCATATAAAAGTTTGTTTTAAAACGTCTATATACCAAAATGTAGCGTATCTTCTACTCTTTCCATTTATATCGATTCAATTTTTTTTTTGAGCCTATGTGAGGAGAATAATTCAATTTAGAAGATCGTCAAAACAAAATCGTCCAGCGAAAGTTGAGTCATTCAACTTGTTATACATCCAGTTTCACTATAAGTCAACATAGAGGGTTGAAATTTTCTGTGGATATAATATAGACGTCAACTGTACTTTTGACGAAAACCGCTCGTCAAAAGACTACATTATGACAGAGTTATACTCAAAACAAAATCGTCCAAAAAATATTGTCCAGGACTGTATATAATCTAATAATACTAATTGTAATAATCTATAACATCATAATCAATTTGAATCATATGTAATTAATAAAACTTAAAATAATTTAAACAACGTGTAACTATTATCATTATGTCATAATAACATAATATAATCATAAACATAATGTAAAAACTAATCAGATAATTTTATTTTCAATTACGAAAATAATTCATTACCAATACCAAGATTATCAGAATTGAAATAAATAATATTACTCAAGTTTCATGTTCTGCTTAATATAATAATATGGATTCAAATATAGGTTCTTTAGCTTGAGATTTTCATGTAACTTTGTATCACTAGTCGATGATTTTGACATCGTTCTTTCCAGATTCTTGACTTTCTTGGTTATTAAACAAGATTCTTATCTGAAAAATATGATCTTGACTTTCTGACAAGAATCCTGTAGACAGAATCTTGGCTGATGAAGCAAGAACTGTCTCTCCAGACAAGATTCTTGTATTCTTGAATTGAGGCTGATTCTTTTTTCTCTTGACTTTCGTGCCAGATTCTTTTGTCTTGATTTTCTTTCTAGATATTTTTTTCTTGTTGTTCTTGTCTGATGCTTTTTTTTCGTATATGTGACATATTTATTAGAAAAAAAAAGAGATAAATTATAAAACGAATTTACATAAAAATATTTTACATAAAATTAAGAAAAAAACTTAAAGTATTTTATTTACATTAAAAGTCTAATATTCCTATTATAATACTTCGCCGTCTTCATGCTTATCACCTGGAGCTGATGATGATCGACACGTCACCAAGCTGTTATCTTCTGAAAACTCTAAAATCATCTATAATATGACTCATTAATATGTTTCAATAAATATATCTTTACTTTTAAATATTTTGACTTACCTAACGTTAATATGGAACTAATACATTATTTGAAAATAAGATATTTTTTCATTTAAGTGACTACAATAACTATTATCTATCGTTGTTTAGAAATGAATAAATAGTGTAGAGACGTTGATATATATATAGACACATGTACACAAAAACATCACGCGACGTGTCATGAAGATCAGGTAAGAATCTTTTTTTTTCTATCCTGTCATGGAAATCTTGTTTGGACTTCAAGAAATTCTAGTCATCTTGTAATTCTTTGCAGATTCTTGTTTTTCTTAATCGATCAGTCAAGATTATTTTTATCTTGAACTCCCGTCAAGAATCTTTTTTCTTTCCCGGTTAAAAGAATCTTTTCCGAACTTCAAGAAATTTTAATTATCTTGTAATTCTTTCAAGATTCTTATTTTCTTGATCGATCAGCCAAGATTCTTTTTATCTTGAACTTCAGACAAGAATCTTTTTTTTTCTTTCTTGTTAAAAGAAGCTTGGCTGATTGATCAAGAAAAATAAGAATCTGGACAGAATAGATCCCCAGGTCAAACAAACAGATGGTAAGATCTTGCATGATCATTCATCTGACCTTGTATGACCTTGTAAGATCAGAGGGAAATCGTACAAAAAAATCGGGGTCTCAGAAGTCTTACATCAAGTCTTACTCTAAGATTCTTGACAGATCTTGTTGTCCTATCAGATCTTACTGTAAGATTATAGAAAATCTTATGCGACGGTAAGATCTGACAAGAATCTTGCAGTAAGTATTGATGTAAGACTTCTGAGACCACGATTTTTTGTATGATTTTCGTCTGATCTTACTATCTGCTTGTTTGACCTGGGTATACAAAATTACATGAAAATCTCACGATAAAAAACTATCTTTGAATACATAATTAATATATATATATAATAGTGCGTAAGATTTGCTGTAGATATCATGGATATGTAAAACAGACTTATTTGTCAATTCATTAAATGATTATAATAATAATGATAATGTTAAATTAAGAAAAACGAATTAAACAAAATGAAAAATAATGAGCGAATAACAAAAATGCAAACAAAAAATAGGATGCCCGTAGAAAAAATAAAAAATTTCTGTTTCACATGCAGAAATTAGAGAGGTCCTTGCTTTGATGATCGATTATTCTGCAAAACAAATATATTCTACGAGAGATTTTTTTTACTGTACATATTTTGTATTAATTTAATGAGGCTAGAGAACATGTGTGAGTTCCCCACTTCAGCCCCAAAGGAGCTGCGCTACAAGTTTTTTTTCTTAATTTCCATATTCTTATTGTTTTTATATTTCTTACCAATAATAAGAATTTCAAAAGTAAGAAAAAAAATTAATATATTATTGAAAGAAGCAATTCATCATTATTTTTATTCTCATTATTATTATATATAAAGAAAATTGTTGACGTGTTAAATTAAATACTCTCAAAACCCTGATCTTCACCCCCAATATAATCTGCACATGCGTTGTTGATCCTTTTTTTCATACATTAGAAAATACAACAAACAGTAATTATATGTAAGACGAAAATCGTATGTATACGTGCTCTCATATCTAATTACCTGCACATGTTTTGTTAATGTAAGAGAACTGGCCAATGTGTTCTTATTTTTTTCTTTCTGTACATCAAACAACTATTGTCTCTCATGTGTAAGACAAAGAAATATTGCCTACGGGTTGTTCTATCTGACGGCTTACTTTTTTTTTGCACTAAGGTGAAAATAGTAATTTATGCATCAGTGATCACTACTATAGAAGAGAGTAATAAATGTATTTCTCTTCACATTCTTTTTAGTTTTTTTGCATCTCTTGTTTTTCTTTTTGACTGTAATTATTCTTGGGCATTATTCAACAGTAACTATGAATATACTATTTATATTTAGTCTGCGCTATTTAGATAATATCTGTTCATGCCAGAGGTTGTTACCCTGATGAATAGCGTGATTCCGAATCCTGTTCTATTTGCATTCTTGAAAATAAGCAAGAAGATCAGCAGTTAGCGAACGAGTCGAGAACACGGAGAGTGTATCCTGTTCCTTGAGACTGTTTTGCACAATCTATCTTCGTGATTTGAATATTGTGTTCTAGTTTTTGTACATAAGTATTACTTACAAACATACTGGTCGATTCTTGCTTGAAGCTTCAGTTCGTGTAGCAGAATCGACTGCAACTTTGCCTCAAATATTTTTTGTCGTTGACATAATATTCTTTGCATACATGTGATGAAGTAAAATAAAGAAATTGTTTTCTCCAATGTAATTTAAAGAGAAGTAGATACAGTAGTTCAGAGTTGCTAGATGCTCGAAAACAACATTTAATATATTTGTATTTGATACAACTCGATCAAGTAATTTTTTGTGATAATAATATGATGCAGATTAAACAAAACTTTTTAACTAGAAGTCAGTAATTACATTAAAATCTGAAAAATATACAAGAGATTAGAGTCGGAACCGTCATTGCCGATGCTATATTGACTAAAGCATGACAGAGATGAAGCCAGTCCGGTTTCTTGAAGACCGGTGCCAATACTAGTCTGAATAGGTCACACTTGACTGAACCCATCGGTCTATCGGCAATCGAGCGGTGTACCAACAACTGGTCGGTCTGATATTTGCAACAATGCAACTTTTGGTCATTTTCAGTACTGGTTCTCTTTCAGAACAATGTTATTTGACATAGTCAGGTTTCAAAAAAAAAACTTATTACAAGTTCTCCATGAGTTACTACAAAAACCAATAGGAGTTATGAGTAAGCTTATATTATATGAGTATTAAAGTAAATAGGAGCGGTCTACTGATGCCCGACTGATGTAAAGGTAACAACCAGTCTATTGGCAGAACAGCAGGTGTGAAATTCGTATCGGTACCAGTTCCATCGTTAAATTATGAATGCCACTCCCAGTGAAAAATATTCCTATGAAAATTGGGATCCTTTTTAATTATCAGTACATAAATCTCAATATTTCTCTTAACCATTCGTTTTTTTCACCATAAATCGGATTAAAATCGATTGAACAAAAAATCCAGTCAATCGATTTTTTTTTCTTTTTTGACTTATAATTCAATTTTACTCGAGAATCCATTTTAATTTTCTTGATCGATTGCAATCACAATCAACAAAAACTGGATTCATGGAATCCAATTCGATTCCTGAAGATTCTATCTGTTGTATTTTGATTGCAATCAAAAAATAGATTTTAATTTTTTAAATCGATTGAAATCTCCGCTAAGAAAAATCGGACTGATAGATTTCAATTCTATTAGTAACGATTATATCTATTGCAATTTGACTGTAATAAAAAAATTAATTTTAATTTTTTTGATCGATTCAAATCTTAACTAAGAAAGAATTGGATTGATAGATTGCAATTGTATTGGTAACTATTTTATCTATTAGAATTTGATTGTAATCAATAAATAGATTTTAATTTTTTAATCGATTAAAATCACAATCAAGAAAAAGTCAGTTAGTGGATTTAAAAGTGATTATTCCAAATTATCTGGGTTGTAGGTTGGTTTAAATCAATCGCTAGTTCATTTCAAACCTGACTCATGTTTAATCGATATCTAAAAGTAATAGTGAAATAAAACTGACTATTTTCCGAAGTAGAGAGTTCATAGTAGTTGAGTATAACGTATAAAGATAGCAATGAGATAAGTGCTTTATATATGGAAAAGTCTTATATATAGAACAAGGTAAAATTTGATTAAAATCGATTTCTGATGTAATTGCACCGTCTCAATATGAAACAATTTATCTACCCGTTCCAACTTTACTTTAGTTGCCGGAGTTTAGCTTGGTAGGAATTTTGGTAGTTTCTAAATACGAGCAATCCAAAAAAATCATAAAAAAAAATTAGAGTTTCGTGTTCGAAGACCGAGAAAAGTGCATATCTTCAATGTGTATTATTAAAACCGATTAAACGATAAGAATAGATTAAAATGAATTAAAAAGTAAGCATTGATTAAAATCGATTAAAATGTACGAATAGATTATAATCGATTAACAAGTAAGAACAGGTAATACGGGAATGCAGCAGATTAACAAGTAGCATAGAATTAGAGCAAATAATTCCCATGTAAAAAAGCGGAAAAAAAATCTGATTTCAATCTTTTTTTTTTCTGGTCATTTTTTTGTATGATAAAGATCCCTATTTAGTTGTAGTTCATCTGATTGTTTATAAGCCAGTACAACAGTATAAAAAACTGATCAAAATTGGGCTGACGTCAGTTATATGAGAATTTTCACCATGACTATTGCGGAACAAAATCCAAATTATAATCGATAATAATTTGGATTTTGGTGCAGAATAATTGGGTTAGTAATTTTCTTTAGACCCATAGGATTTCAAAATTTTAATCGATTTTAATCGCTAAAATTTTTTACTGCGACAGACAAAGATATCTCGTTTCTTATTGCACATTTATACAGGCAGAATAATCTTCTGTCTAATGTTTGATTAGATCACTCTCCTCACCTCATCAACAAGGCAAATATGGACATTCTACATTTTTCTTCAATTGCTCATACCACTAAATGTATCTCAAAAAGGCCGTGATTCGAGCGGGAAGATTATCAACCGAATGCAATGAAATTTATTCACTCTGATGTGAAAAATCAAATACTTCCTAGGATTAGCATAACATTCTCATACTCACGACAGTTGCTTCTTGGTCAAAACACCCTTGTGAACAATAATAGGTAGTATCAATGTCTAGAAGTAGGACGTAAAAAAGCATTTCTCTTCAAAGCTCTACTAAATAATTACTCTATTTTTAATTCGTTATTAAGATGATAAAAAGACAATCTGTCCTTCGAGCCTTTCACTGGAAAAAAAGCGAAATTCTCATATTTACAATGGCTTAATAGGCTGCGAACAAAGGGAAAATTATTTCTATCTATTATTCTTCGTTTGATTGGTAATGTAATGATTGCCATGTGTAGGAGGAAAAGTGATGTATTTGTCTGAGAGTTTCTATACATTACAAAGAAGAAAAGCCTCCATACGAATATCTAATCCTACTCTTCATACTTTAATCAGCAATACAATAATAGTCGAACGTATGAAGTAGAAAATATTAGTCTGAACATTTCTTTTGTTTCCAGACTGACAAATATTCCTATAATTAAGGAAAGAAAGAGATAAAATGTATGCTTCTTTCGATCTAATTATGTTATGATAACGATCCAAGAATCTCAATATACGATGAAAAAGTATAACGGGTATTCTAGGTATAATGATTTGCTCTGCGTTGTAGTGAATCTTTTCCTCGTTTCGTTATCATCGTAAATATTCTAATATATCAAAAGTTAAAGATTTTTAAGCTCTTCGAAATGGAATACTTATTTCAAAAAAGATAATCTAGGTTACTTTGCAACATTCAATAAAAAAATTCGATTTGTTCAGCTGAAAATATTACGAAACACGACTTGAAGCTGACTCTTTTCGACGCCTTCTTTCATGTCGTTGATAAATTATTGTCTGTTCGTTATACGACTTCGATCCATTTGTTGGTCTTTTTTTATTGCCAATGTAAAAATCCAGTGGGCTGAGAACTGGACTGTTCGCAGGTCAATGATCTTTCATCCAAAAATCAGAAAAGTGTTCCTCACATTTGTTCCTGTGGGCTTGTGCATTGTCTTGCTGAAAGATGAGGACGTTGTCAAACATTTTTTACCGTCTTTCATTGCTACAAGTAAAATTTTATCCATGTATTGTTCACTATGAATAGTACTTTCCTAGATGATCACTAGTTGTGTAACTTCTTAACAAATCCTTAACTAAATCATAGTGCCAAAGAGAAAAATATGTTTTTCAGTGAATATCACCTTCATCACCTGATTTTTTCTGTGTAGACGTGTAAATTCCATTATTCTGTTTGTTGTAAGTACCATCGATATAGACGCAGTTCTTATCAGAAAAAAGATCTATTACTTTTGGAACCACCCATTTTTTATAAGATTGCTAACCCAGATCTTCCCTATTATACGATCAATGATATGAAGTGATTTTTTGCTAATTTACATGCTGCATGGAAGTCAGTCTCGACTCAAATAAAGCGTCATAAAAAATCAAAAAGAGCTATAATAAGTAGTATTCGATATTGTCTAGAAAGTTCTGTATATGTGGCACTATGAGTCCGTTCTCTGTTACCGAATGAGGAATAGAGTATTGGTAAAAATTTTTATACTATTTTGTAGACAGTTAAATGCTACATATTATTAGAGAAGAGAATTTGAAAGTTGGTTCACATTGTACACTAAAAGCAAAGAAAGAGAAACACACCTATTCTATCTAGATCACCCAATAATTCATCATTGACAATAAATATCAAAGCAATTTCTTTTTTGTTTAGAGATTATTTGTAGCTTTCTATGTACATCAAAAGTAACAATAGAAAACGCTCAATTTGTTAAAAAATCGAATATTTTTCTTCTATAAACGAAAAACGAATATTTTCCAACTTATTTTAAATTTTCTTGTTAATTATATTTCAAATAATATCTTTAGAAATTTTGTTTTTTTATATAGATATTCTTGTAGAACTCGTCGCACTCTATTGAATCATATAAAAATATGACAAAAATACTTTTGCTCGATTTCTCAATCATCGTTGTCTCTTATATTAGTTTGCTTTTGGATTTAAATTTTTAGTATACTTTGTTTTTTTTTTGTTTTTAGTGATACGTAATTTGATCATCTTATTTCTTGGACAATTAAACAACGATGTTATTATTTTGTAACCGTCGATGTTTCTTGTTATACTTTATGCTTGGACAATTTAGTATAGATTATGTAACAACTAGTTGGCCATCGTCAAACTCTTCTAACATTCGTCTACTAGGCCTTTTTCGAAACATATCAAACGCATCTGACACTTCCAAACTGTATGCTCATTCATCGGCTATGTTTAAGGCAGCAATGCTACTTTCTTATCGATATAATATGACAATCGCAGGAAAATTCATCGGATGGCAAGCAGAGCAAACTACTGGCAATATAATTGATGTGCTGAGTGATGCATGTCGTGCAGTGTCGGATTCAAATATAGTTGGTATCATTGGCCCAGGATTATCAAGAGAAGCTTCTATAATTGCTCCATTTGGTGAAAAAATTGGTATACCGATTATATCATATTCTGCAACTGATCCTGGTTTATCTAATCGAAATACTTATCCTAATTTTTATCGTACAGTTTCTTCCGACAATGTAGCTGCATTAGCTCTTGTAAAACTATTCATTCGATTTAACTGGACATCTTGTACAATAATTTATCAAAATGATGTGTTTGGATCTGGTGGTACCAAAGTTATAAGTGATGCATTTAATACAAGTGGATTAATAGTCAGACAAATGGTCGCTTTTGATATTACTACACTTAGTATTCGTGGTGATTTGCAAAGTCTTTTAACTAATGTTGCAACACGAATTATTGTATTATGGGCTGAACGAATTTATACATCTTTGATTTTACAAAAGGCTCTTGACTTGAATTTAATTGGTCCATATTTTACATGGATACTAAGCACCAGTATTTCATTAAATTCTTTCAATCAAACATTTCATGAAAACTTAATTGGAATGCTTGCGATTGAACCAGTTGTAGGATCATTTGTTGATAAATCAATTAATGAAACATTATTAAATGAAGCATATAGTATTTGGCAACAATATGAACCTGAATCATTTCCTGAATCGTTGAATGTAGATTATTATGGATTATTTGCATTTGATGCAACATGGACATTAATTCAAGCATTACAACAATTGTGTACATCAAAAATAAATATTTCCTCTTCATGTTTATCATTTATTGGATCTTCATTCTGTTTTGATCATCGTTTCATACATTCTAAATTATTATTAGATGCAGTTAGTGGAACAGAATTTTTTGGTGTATCTGGTCCTATACAATTTAGTGTTAATGGAACAGATCGAATAATTGGTTTGTACTATTCTGCAAAAAATGTTCAACCTTCTTCGAACGGTTTGAATTTTGTTTCCATATTAGAATATGCTCATCCTGATAATTGGAGAATACCTAACAAAGAAAATGTTATAATATGGCCAGGTAATACGTTAACAAAACCTACTGGTAGAGCGATTCTCAAGGGTGTAAATTTACGAATAGGTATTATTGAATCAGTTCCATTTACAATAGTTCAACAGACTATAAATGCATCTGAGTCAAGTACAATACCGTATAGTGGTTTTGTACCGGATCTTATTGAAATGTTACGAAGTAAAATGGAATTTATTCCAACTATTGAATTAGTACGATCAAATCTAACATATACTGAATTCGTTCAATCAGTAAGTAACGGTGTTTATGATATAGGGATAGGTGATGTGACTGTTACCGCTGCACGAAGAGAATTAGTCGATTTTTCCAATGCTATATTTGATAATTCTTTACGTATTATTATACGAAAAACACCTCAAACTAGTATCGATCTGTTCTCATTCTTGAAAACATTTTCACGTAATCTCTGGTTATTAGTCTTAGGTACTGTAATCTTTGCTGGTATTTTGATGTTTATGATAGAGAGACAAGATAACGAAGCATTACAAAATCGATCAATATTGTCTCTAGGGGTGGACCATTAACATTAATCTTAAATTAATGTTAATATTTTTCATTAACATTAATATTAATGTTAATGTTTTTCATTAATCATTAATATTAACGGTTAATGTTTTCCTTTAAAAACTTAATTCATTAATATTAATGATTAATGAAAAAACATTAAC